AGCAGTGTATTTGGCCAACAACTCTTACAGTAATACTTGTATACAATGAGTATAAATGAGTAAGTTAAATGTTTTGACAGAGACAATATTTACTCGGGGTTCCAAAGGAATCCCCGAGTTTAAATTTCGGGCTTCTTATTTTTTTCATATTTAATTGAAGCAGTGTATTTGGCCAACAACTCTTACAGTAATACTTGTATACAATGAGTATAAATGAGTAAGTTAAATGTTTTGACAGAGACAATATTTACTCGGGGTTCCAAAGGAATCCCCGAGTTTAAATTTCGGGCTTCTTATTTTTTTCATATTTAATTGAAGCAGTGTATTTGGCCAACAACTCTTAATACTTGTACATTGTATACACCTAATTTAAAAAAACGTAGTCGTGTTCGAAAAGGTCACATCATAGAAGCTAGAGAAGCTAAGACCGAAAGGGATTTTGAGTACCACTAAATTGGGATTACATTTTCATATACGGTGTACACTAAGCAAGTAGAGCTAGTAAGATTAACAGCAYGATAGTCTTTTATRCTGGAGAGCTGTTTGTWATGAAATTAGCCAAATTGTTTGTCTTCCCAAGTACCCTTTCGGTCTTAGCTTCTATGATTTGACCTTTTTGGACCCAACGTTTCTTCAATTAGGTGTATGTAGGTGAGAGCTTTTAAAAGTGCTAATGTTTTGTTCTGCTTGTGTTTTAGTTTAAAAGTGTTACAAGAAGTATCAGCGCCATTATCACCAGTATCTCCAGAGTGAGATTTGTCAATATATTTATACAATGTGAAAATAGCACCACAAGACTTCATATATTAATGTTTTTGAATGTGCATTATTTTTCAACCATATTGTTAATGTTTTTTAACGGAAATCTATCCSTCACTTCTTGTGTTTGAAATCACGTTTTTAATAGACCTAACAGCTAACGTATTACAATGTAGTTTACCACCCAGTTGAAATCCTGTGGGAAAAAGAACGTTTTTTTTTCTAAGAATTCAACTGTGAAATGAAAATACAGCAAACAATGAAACTTACTCGTGGGTGGTTTGAATTGGGTGAAAACGTTTATAGCAAGGCGTTAGCTGATTAGGTCTAAGGGGAAGAGGGGTGGAGCACGGACCAAATAACTAATGCATGAGATTGCACAACATATTGTACACTCATTTGAACAATTGTTGGAGGTGTGTTCCAAATGATTCACCATAATAATTAGGTAATTGCATATATTTATGTGTTGTAAGTTATGATTTATTAACGAATACTGTTCTTGCAACCAAATTGTAGTAATATTGTAATTGCAAAAACTAGTGATAATTTATATGAAAAACAAAAGAACTTTTATGATAATTATGAATTCTTCGCATTATCGTAATTCCCATAAACTAGTTTGGTCCCAGCTGTTGTCTTCAATCATTTGAAACATGCCAAATTGTTTGTTTGCTTGAGTGTATTTAAAGGACAAACTACAATCCAGTAATATCTATAGCAGCCTACATACACTGTTATAGACTGTACAGACACAACTTAGCATTCTTTTCACATTATTACAACATCTATGACGGAATAATTTAAATTTTTTTATCAATTTGTATTGAGTGATCAGTTATTTCCTAACATTTGTCACACACTTGTACAACTAATTGCAGATTTGTTTTATTACTAAATTGTACAGGATAGATTAAATTATATAGAGATATAATTAAATGAAAAGTTTAACAACTTAGGGAATGTGAATTGCACGACCATAAGGTTCAATAAAAGCCCCCAAAAAGATAGGCTAATAGCTGTGGTCRTTTTGCTRGTTGAAGTCTATTATAAATTTATTTATTTTCTACGTTTTGTSTTTTTGGTTGTTTCATTTGGTAGACAAAAATCAYACTGTCTACTTCAATGTGTACAAGTCACTTTAAGTAGAAGTTGGAAGTACATCAACAGCAAATAAAAATATATTTGTCGATAACAGTACCATACACTAAAAATAACTTACTGTGAAACATGCATGCATGTTTGTCTAACAGTCATTTTACTGAAATATCATGTCATTACAATATAGAAAGCAGTAATTCTCATTTAACATTTCATGAAAATGATTCCATTCTAAGAACTAATACATAGTACKTWCATTGCCTTTTTTTAACTCCAAGAYGCCAGTAATATACAGAGATTTCCAAGTAGAAAGCATTTTAAGGGAAAAAAGGTGTTATGGCAATGGTTTATAAAATTTAATATAATTATTGATGAAATATAACTTATTAATAATTCCACTAAACTTCAAGTACATGTTTGGCTACACATCCTCCTTGGGCAAATAGGTCTTCGGCAATTTGTTTGACATTGTTGTCACCATTTCTTTTGGAACCTTGGCATAATAAAGAAAGAAATTTTATGTTAGAAAAGTGATACCATTATAGAAATCTTTTCTTGGCCATCAAGAAATGTTTGATTGTATACTTTGATAAGTTTTAGAAGAGTTTTAGAAGTTTTCGGATGATGGCAAGATACTTCTATCATAGTTATGATTATCAGTGAAGGATCCAGGGGGGACCACAAGATACCTCTACTGGCAGATCAATATGAGGTTACACCCCCCTGATCTCTGACCCTGATTATGATCATATTTAATCATAAAAATGCTGATAACTACAATATTGATCCTTTAGTAAAACTGACACTGACATTAAAATACAAACAGTATAGTTTACATGAATTATACCTTTGGCAACTTCTTTCAGTAATCGTGTATTTTTATCATAAGCATCTCGACAAATGGTGGTTGTCAAAAGGGTCTGAAAAGAACAATCATTTCTATCATTAATATGAAGGCAAATATCTGAGCACAGACCTCTGTGCTTCACTTTATTTTACAGTTGGTAATAAAACATTCATGACAACCACAAAAAAATTTGTCCATCTTCTCCAACCTCATCAAAAAAGATCAATATGTGAGCAACATGTACAATCTTCTGCATAAAAAATTGAGACACCTCAAATATAACATTCTTTTTCCCTCTCCCCTGTATAATGTTGATGCAGGGACTGCAACAAATCGAAAGTACCCCAAAACCAACAGAGAACTCTCCCAATAACATTGTAGAGGGGTGTTGGGTCATAGGTGACATGTCTATTTTGCAAAAGATTGTAGCCTGAGTACGTTTTCTCTACTCCACCCACCATGAGGAAAAAATCCCAAATTTTCCCACGTGGGGCAAGAGTGGGAACAGATACACTCCAGGCCATATGTCAGCCTACAAAGTGTCTATCACAGGTATCTTGAGAGGGCCACTATGCAGCCTGTATGTGGGTTACACAAAGCGTGTGTGTACGATCACCACAGGTAGCCCAAGCTATGCATGTTAACCATTCTTAGTAGTTTTGCAAAATATGTTAAATAAACATCTCTACCTGTGTATTGTGGTTTTCTTTGTATTCCTGTAGGTCAATAGTTCAAAATAGCTCAAAAGCCCTGAACCTCCACAGTAAAGAATACAAAGAAATCCTCAATACACAGGTAGAGATTTAAATTTTTTTTTGAACTTTTAACATATTTCGCAAAATTACTAAAAAAAGGTTAAAATGCATAGCTTGGCTACCTGTGGCATCACTGCTTTTTACAGTCTCCAGTCCCTTTTTGCGTCATCAGCACAAAGTTTTATATTGATCTTGCTATTTGAAAAATAGTTTTGGGCCTTTGACTTACTTCATGTTCAGCTGCGGGTCCTCCTCTGTAAAGTGTCCGCGTGCATCTTGACAACACTGCTGTCATGGCGAAGATATTAATAGCTGTGTCTGCCATCCTTTTGAGCAGCAGTTGTTCATGGACAATGTTCTACAAATAAAATGTAAATTGGAGTTCTCACCTGGTGATTAATTAACTGGCCTTGAGGATTGTTATAATTTATAGTTAATACTACTGCAATGACCTATTTAATGGAATAAGCTCTATGCTTATGACGAAAAGCTCTTGTATCATGCAAACACCAAACATTGTAACTAAGGCAAAAATAGAGAATGTTACAGCTGCATAATGTTATAAGACAGTCATCATGGAGATACCACTTTTCCAGTATGAACAATGAATTCCCAACCCTTTACTACACCTACACCATTGCCATTAGACATATTTTGTTTTCACTATGAGACAAAATGACCCCCTGAAATACTAACGTCTATGACTTATTACTAAAGGACCTACCTTTCCAAACTTGGCAAGWAGTTTTTCAGAATGCATTCCAAAGTCAATGACATTCTCTTCAAGCAACTTTACACAATCCTGAAGAGAAACATGATAAATAGTTAGCTCATTGCATGAAGGCTTGAGAATTGGGATCTATGTTATAAAATATTATTATATATTCTGCATTCAAGAAAGTCATACCATTTTATCGGAAACAAAGATCCCTAAAAAAATTCTGTATCCCATTTCCAAGTAAAAAACTAGAGTACAATATGTAAACTAAACATCAATGGCCTAATTAACAAGATGGTACATAGCTCAGTTACAATGACAATCCCTACCGCTAATTGTGGGTGTACGTCTTCAGCCACACCCAATGATCCTTTCACGCCAAGTGAGTACAGSCCTCTCTTCCGTAATGCATTCCATAGTACCCCTGGGTTCTGGAATGGATTCTTCATTGCCCTGGTACATCAACATAACAGACGATCATTAATAAAATCCATCATCATTCATTTGTCTTGAATGACAGAGTTGTAGCTAGAAGTGGAAGGACAATGGATATAGATTTTCTCTTACGGATATATTTAGTATACTGTAGGTTGCAGCTAGAAGTGGAAGGACAAGGGATATAGATTTTCTCTTACGGAGATATTTGGTATACTGTAGGTTGCAGCTAGAAGTGGAAGGCCAATGGATATAGATTTTCTCTTACGGAGATATTTAGTATACTGTAGTACTGCAAAACAGTACTTTTAACCTGGCCCTAAAGTTGCTGGAGTATGAACACTTACTTAACAACATCTTTGAGCTGATCRCCAGCATATTTCATGCCAGTKAGAGCAATATACATCCGTAGAATTTCATTGGTTCCCTGRAATAAAGGAATGCAATATAATGATCATTCTTTGCATCAGTGTGCATTTCATAACACGTGAGATTGTCAAGATCTCTGTTGAGATGCATGTTAATACCMAAGCWCCATTTCAGTCTAGTCATCTAGCAACATTCCYARCCCCCTCCCCCTTSAGAAGYTTTTTGTCTTAACACAGGAATCCCAAGAAYAGGAATTTTTATACAAAGAGACTAGGAAATGCCTTGAATTTAATGTAATTCAACAGCTTTGTCCCTGATTGTATGTTGTACCTCATATATCAGCATAATTCTAGTGTCTCTTAGAAGTTGTTCATAGGGATATGTCTTCATGTAGCCCAGACCTAGTGATATCAATAGTATTAATAAATAAGCATCAAATTAATAATTAATTAATGTTGAGTTACATGTCATTACCTCCAAGGGTCTGCAGAGCTTCRTTGACACCACTCCATATACTCTCTGACCCATATACCTAGGATCAAAAGTGGTTCTACATCAATTTCCTAGGGCATATGCAACCAGCATTCAATGCAATCATGTTTAACTTATATTTCATATAATACAGCCTTTTGCAAAAATTATGAGAATTGTCGAAATATCTAAATATCATAATATCGAGTGCATGATGGGTAATCCCGAGCGAAAATTATGAGAATTGTCGAAATATCTAAATATCATAATATCGAGTGGATGATGGGTAATCCCGCGCGATGCCCTTAGTCCCTTGTCTTTGTAGTTTAGTTTTTTTTGGCGACAGACGTATCCGTAGTTCTGAACATTTTCTCGATGTCAACAATGAATTATTCTAGCAAACCCGCCTGTTCCTGACAATATATGGATATGGATATTATGATATTTAGATATTTAGAAAATTCTCATAATTTTTGCAAAGGGCTGTATCACATTTTTATATCATATATTTTATAAATATCATATAATAAATGGAAAATGAGGTGATTTCAAATATCCATTTGTTCATTCATCCACTGGTTTGTGGATCAATTCTYACATATCTCCATTCATAGAGTACAAAGATGGAGCAATATTTCAGACTGT